ATGTTCGTTGTTCATTTACAGCTTTTTTTTTCCTGTGGGAAAGGGGGATGGGGAAGGAGTTGTTGAATATGCAAAATGCTTGAAGTGTTTTCAGTTTCAGTGAGATGAAGGGTAGTGCTTACTGTGCGTCGGGATCCAAGATGAAAGGAGGGTGCTGAACTTTGTAATTAACCCTCAGTCTATGCCGTGAAGTCTGAAGAAGTCACACGTTAGAACTTGCAGGTGTTTAATGAATTTCAAGTTACAATTTCATTTCTTTTGCCATTCCTCAAAGATACAGCCAGTAGACCAAGGAGAATACTGAACAAGTCGCACGAGGCGTGTTATGCAGCCTGCTGTGTCTCGTTCATTTCTAGTACAAGTATATTTAGGCACACGTACACACACATTTTGTAAAGTAGTTTAGGCTGCCAAAAGTTCTGATGTGTTGTCTCTCTGGTAGAGCACAGAACAAAAACATGTTTAACCTAATATCTATTAAAACCCCCACATTTTATAGCTATACAAGAATTTAGTTGTTTTAAATTTAAACATATGCTTGAATGTATTCTTTTTTTTTTCATTTACTCAGATTTCCTGAGTAAGTGTACATTTCTAGATCAAAGACTAAGATATGATAAGCCTTAATTGACCCGGGAAGCCGTATGTTCTCATGTGATACTCAGCTGTGCTGTTTGATGTATGTAACGACTAATTTTTAGCCCTTGCTTCTGCCTGTAGAATTTTACTCTTTACTTACTCCTCACCGTATTTGGAGCATAGTAAATACTGTGGTTTACATCATAAAACTATTTCAGGTTTTTCTAAGCAGAGTGTTTTGGTACATGTGTATGTATAATTTATCTCAGTTGTGTGTAGAAAATAGTACATTTGGGAGTTGGTTGGTTGGTTGTTTTGTCTCTCTTAACGAGGTAGCCATTTTTGAGGCAAATCCTGCTAGATCCATGTTGGCAAGAAACTTTTTAAGAATATCCTAGGGATACATTTATATTCTTGCGAGTTTGTTTATAAGATAAACAGTCATTATCTATTTGAATTACATGTGTTAATTCTAAGATGCAAAGCCACTACCTGCTCCAGTAGGTGAACGCCAATTTTGGAACCATTGTCATGGAAGTTAAATTTCAGGTACTAGGTGTTACCGTTGTATGAAGGAAATGCAAAACTCCCTATTCGGTAGGATTTATTGAACATCCAATCTGGAACTGTGTAAAATCAATCAGTGGGAACTTGTGAACAGTTAATACACAGGTGTGTTTTTCTCCATCCTTCCTATTGTATATATAAAAAAATACTTAAGAAAACGAGAGTGGGAATTCTCTTATCCTGAATAGATATAAATTATGTCTGAAATTTAAGAACTTCTGCAAAGAAGTTTGAATATAAAAGCACGTATTTGAAGAAACAGGTGCATTCAGATAATCTGTCCAGATTTGTGCAGACTGGGTTGGTTTTGACAGCTGGTTTATTATCTTCCTATTTTATGACTTCTCCTGTCATTGCCTGTGGCTGCATTTAGGTTCAACTCACCCAGATGTGCTGCAGGACAGAAGAGAAGTGAAAACAAAATCCAAATTCACAGCTTGGTTTGGATATCAGATTCTTGTCACGACAGTCATTTCAGATGTTGTCTTTCCTGGCTTTCTGTATGTCATTAAGATTTCTCCTCTGAAAAATTTCACTCTAAAAAGTAATATCTGAATTTTGCATAGTCATAGTCTATCTAGTTTAAATGTCTTTTCATAAAAGTGTGTGTTGCTGTTGACTAGGAGCCTATGATATATTGTAATTTAGCTGTCGGTACTGACATTTAACACGACCTCTTTTACACAATATCCTGTAGCTTGTTTTCTTTAGGTTAACGCGCAGTTGTTAACTTTTGTATTGAATTTTTCCCTTTTGTTTCATGTTCTTCTCTCCCCTCTGCATGTCATTTATTAAGGTACTTCTACTTTGTTCTTTATAAACCCGAGTAAGTTTCGACACGTAATGCTATGCCCTCTCCCTGGAGGTGTTCAAGGCCAGGTTGGATGGGGCTTTGAGCAACCTGGTGTAGTGGAGGGTGTCCCTGCCCATGGCAGGGGGTTTGGAACTAGATGATCTTTGAAGTCCCTTCGAACACAAACCATTCTATGATTCTATGGTTGTGACTACTCTGATAGTTAGATGAGGTGTAAACTGTCTTATAAAACTGTCTGTTCTCCTGGAAGTAAAGTAATAGCATGCTTTGAAGACATTTAAAAATAATTCTCCTCAATCCAGGATGTTTGCGTAGTGGTTAAATACCTCTGAACCTCAGTTTCAGTCTTTTTGCAAATATTTTTATGTTAAGAGCCTCCTAGAAAAGAGCTGTGCTTTAGATAGGAGCCAATCTAACTGTCATTCTTTTCACTTTCATCCTCTGCTGATGATGCTGTAGTTCCTCACTGACCTGGTGGGCACTGCTGCTGGCTCTGCAGTGCATGGGCACTGTTAATCTTCATGTTACTTGAGGCCCTCAGTGGGTTGCCTGTCCTCCACGATTGAGGCCAAATCCAGGGAACTGCTTCCTTCCCCTTAGTTTCAGCAAAAAGAAAGCACGGTGCCGTTGGAGCTGCTGTTTGTATCCTGTGGGCTGTTAGAGTAAGGCGGGCCTTGCGCACCAAGGCAGAAGGCTCTCCGAGCTTTACAGGAACTGCGGAGCAGCTAGCTGGTTCCTGGATGGAAGTATGTTCATATCCAAGGTTACGAGTGTAACTGGCACCCTTTCCAGCCTTTCTCCATAAAAACTGAGCAGGCAGAAGGCAGAGCGTCCTTGCCTTCTCACTGCACGCCGTGGGTCGGAAGGGATGGTGGGAAAGCGCAGAGCAGAGCAGCTGGCTGCGCTCCCGCTCTATCTGCTTAGTAGATAAAGAAGATTTTTTTTAGGGCTGTCGATTGGCTTCTTTCACTTTTGCCTTTGCATCACCTCGTGGTGTATTTTTGAAAGTATTTCTTGTGCTGCTTTGACAGAGAGGTGTGTTTGTGAGGGTTACAGTCTACGGGCTTTGTTTGCAGAGACTGGAGTGGGCTGGCCAAAGAGGGCTATCAGGCTGAACTTTGGATTTCTTGCTTTTTGCCAACTCGAATCATAGCATAAACTCTATTTAAAGATTTTGATTTTTGTATTTATTTTCCACATCCTTGACCCTGACTGGTGAGCTGGACATTTGTGTTTGCCTTGGCAAGCTTCAAGCTGCTCATCTAGGGCAGGATGAAAACTTTTTTCCTTTTGTAAACAAACTGTTCCTTCAGTATTTTCCATAAGGATTTACACCACCATTTTGCAACGCTTCTAGGAATTGAGAAAATCTTGCCATTCAGAGTTTTCATTTTGCACAGCTTGTAGCACTGCATAGAAATATTTGGGTTTATATGTTTTCTGAAGTTGGATTCGAAGACCTATTTTTCAGAGTGTTTTCGAATTCCAGAAATCCTACATTTTGTCTTGAAGGGGTTTATTAAAGCTGTAAGTCAATATTCATTGTTGCCTGTCTAGAAATGGGCTTGTTTGTGTTTTTTATTGTCTAACACTAACGCATGTGTGTCAGACAATGCAACTGTGAACACTGCCCCATTGTACTAGACGCTGGATATGGGTAAAATACTCCTTTGTGCCCTGAAGAATTTACAGCCTAAATAACTGTTCACATTCTGTATTTCTTCGGATATATTTTAGTGGTCAGGATGTAAAACGAGAGAACAACTTAGCGGGTTACTTTATGCCAACACACAAGTTATGTTTTGGAACAAATGAACTGAATTTCGTTTTCCAGAGGGACAAAGGACTGATGCTGCTCCTTTTGCGTTAGGTGGTTTGCAGTGAGGGACTGGCGGTTTCGAGTGCTGTAGCCCATAGAAATGGCATTCTTGCTCCTGTAATCCAAAAGACTTGTCATGGTACTCCAGCAGTGATGCTGCTAATTTAGGCAAGTTTGAAATGCTCTGAGTCACAGGTAGTTTTATATATTATAAAATTGGTACTATGATATTATTAAATGCAACTCAAAGCTAAGTATCCATGTTAGTCTTGATCCCAGGCTACTGCAAACCCTGCCAAGTGGGAAGAGGGTACTTGCCATGAGCTAAACTTCCAAAAAATCATAAAAAAACCCCAACTTTTAAGAGCACCCACATTTCTCTGGAAGAAACGGCTTGTAGCATGTATTCGCAATATGTTCTCTCCTTCACCCTGCTCCCCGCTAAATAGTTGTCCTTGCAAGTCCTTGTATTTTTCCTCAGATCGTGCATTCTGCTCCCTGGTAACTGGTATGAATTTCTATCAGTCACCGGAGTATGTTCACAAGGATGCCAGATTCCTTGATGTTCTGTGAAAATACTCACTGTTTTCCCCCAATCTACAAACACTTACTGAACATGGGCGAGTAGCAAAGTAAAAGTTTGATTATATTGTACTGCAGAAGAAAAAAAATCTGTGCAGTTTTGAAATTTCTTTAAACAATAGGAAAGGACGAATTTCCATATAACTTTTCATCTTTGTGCTGCTATTTGTGAGATCTACTGCTTGGGTGCAAAATTAATTCTTGGAGAACAACTAATTCTTCATTAAAGTCTTGAAAATTTTCTGCAGTGTTTAGTAAAGCGTGCTATTTATTATGAGTGATTATCCAGATTGAGTTTGTGCCAGTGAGTCAGCAAACCAAAACAAAATGTCTGGTTTTTGGTCTACGGCTTGCCGTAACTGATAATAAATAGCAAATAACCAAACTGACAGTTACAGGGACAAATGTTGAAAAGCGTATGTTAAAAAATATCCCCAAAATTATAAATAATGAGTGGTGTGTAGGTTGTTAACAGTAGAGAAAAATACTGAATTTTACGTGAAGCTCCATTGGTGCTAGTCAACAGTCCATAAACGTTATTTGTTTTTCCTTTTAAACAGTAATACTAACTTTATAAAGGTATATTAAAAGCATATTTGAACTCCACAAACTAAAATTACACTTCCTTTTTTGTTGCAGATCTGGGACATGAGTGATGACGAAACAGTCTGAAAATCAGCTGAATAAGGTGGAAGATGACCTACTTTGGACTGCAGCGCTGCCTTTTATCTGTTATTTGACAAGTTAATGATTGCTTACCCGTTCTGACTGCTACAAATACAAACAAATATCATTGACATTTTGACATTAGTATCTTCACCTTAAAAGCAGTCTGTTATGGATATAACTCTCTACATTTTCATTTTTATTATGTAAATAACTAAAGCAATGTGGTTACGTTTAAACCTTGTCTTTTTTTTTTTTCTTGGTTTCTAAATACAGCTTACATATAAAATATGCTGCTTAAGTAAACTTTAGTGGTTTATTTGTCCCAGTTTTTATTTCACTTGCCCATGGACGTGTCCAAGCAGCATGTCTAAATGTCTTTCTTCATCTTTCCCAGATTTGTGCCCCTTTAGTTGGATTTTACTGTTAAAATTGAGAATATTCTGCTCTTGGGAGTTAAACTGCATCTTTAAAGGAGAGCAGGAGTAGGTAAGAACCTACACCTACTGCCTACACCACATTGCTTGCTGTTTCAAAGTCCATATTTATAGTACAATTGATTGTTCTTGCCTGTGTCAATGGAGGTGTTATTCTCTGTAAAGATCTCGTAACTTCATGCTATGGAAAAAATGTGGTTTGAATTATTTTTGCACAGGAAAGACCAAAACACATTGGTATCATGATTAGGCACCCCCGAAGTTTAGAGAAGGCTCTGATATATAGTAAAAATTGCTTGGGGAGGGGTGGGGTGGGGTGGATCATTGACTCAGTCAAAACTTGTAGAGAAATGCTTAACTGAAATAAGAAATTGGTTCTCTGACTTTGCTATTCTTGGATGCTGTCATGAGGTACTTTACAGGTAAGAGTTAAAGAGTTAAAAAAGAGCAATTCTGATTTTCATTTTGGTTGGATTTTAAGTTTTTCAATTTTTGCAGCATCAGGAATGGCATCAGAGATTATGGCTGAGCACAAACAATAGTTTGAGAATCCTTGCGTTGAAAAGATTTGAGAAAAAAGGATTTGTAAAATATCAAAGTACATTACTACAAAAATGAGAGTGAATCTATTGGGTTTTGTTTTGGAATAGGTTTTAGAAGTATATTTGAAATCCCTTTTATGGCTTTATATTGTGGGGATTATGGAGTAACTCACTCAGAAAAAGTGCAAATCGCTTTATTTGCCAAGCAGTCTTTATTTCCCATATATATTATGAAAATTAGTTGATCAATCCAATTATTTTAGTTCCTTCCTTAACATAAGCTCTGACTGTTTGATGTAGATAATTTCACAGCTTCTCTCTTAGGCCACATCAGAAGAAGTTCTGTCAGGTGAAATTTGCCTTGAAACAAGGATATCTGCAACTCCCATGTTCTGATCATAAAAGAAGATTTACTGAAACATGCTGAGGTTTGCATCAAGTGTCTAAAATAGATGTTATTTATATTTATTTTAGTTCTCCTATTCATTATATTTATGTGATTTCTGAAGTAGCCTTAAGGGAATGTCTTGTTTAGCTTACTTCAATGTAATATAAAAATATATATGAATGAAATATATTTTTTGAAAGACTAGTTATCATAGGAAACTGATCTTTTGGTGGTCAGGCAATGAACAATAAGGTTGATAACATGCCATGTCCATTTTAAAGCACTTTGTTAGTGTACATAATTAGTTATGAGCTCAGATGACTTCCATTTTGTTAGCCATGCTGTAGTCCAACCGGAATCATCAGTCAGTACCAGGATAGTTTAAAGGGAATGATCTGCATTTTGATCTTTTGGAGTTGCTGACCATGGAGCATAAAACTCTCTTTGCAGTTTTTGGTGATCTAAAATTGGAAAACTAGACATCTTTCTGAAGTCTGATAAACACTAATAATTATTTTAAATATCTGAAACTCTTTACTTATTACAGCTTTACTTTGGAAGAATCTATTTAACTGCAGAAGTGTACAGGATCCAAAGGTTCAAAACTCAGGGCTAATATAATGTTTCCTTACCTCTGTAATTTCAGTGACATACAACTCTCAGGCTGAGCTGTTTCCTGTACATATGCTTCCCAGATGTGTCTGATGTTCAGAAACACTTCAGTTTGACTTGGAATAACTTCCGTTGTCTAACTATAATGTTGTTTTCTTTCTCCTTGCGGACTAGAATTGTTCTTATTTTGCTTTTACTCAATTTCTAGGCATTTGCTGGGTGAGAAATCATGGGAATCCGTTCAAATGAATGAGTGCATATTCAAATACTATTAACAGATAAACACATCTATTTACTGGCTTGTATGCACTTAATGGCAGGATTTCGACACTGTCCTCAGCTCCAGTTATTGCTGTTTAATGGAAGAAGCTAAACTTTACCTTTCTTCATGAAGGAGGTAGGATTTAAAGTTTTTGTGCTGCCATGACCTCCTAGGCATCTGTGAAGAGCCCAAACTAATTTTTGTTGTAGAACCCAAGAGCTACCATGACTTTTCAGGTATAAACCAAATCTGTTGGGAAGAGGGAATGAGCCGCCTCAGAGGAATCTACTCATCTTCCTAAACTATCCAACAGAAATGTAATGGCATTATATGGCAGTGTGGGTGGAACTGCATCTCACAGAAGGCAGCTATGACACCTACCTAGCACGTCTGGGAACTTCTAATAGTGTTAGAAGACCACAGATAGCAATGGAGAGCTCTTGACATGATTTTTGTGCTTGAGCATTACAGAAACTCATGGAATGATAGCCTCTGTTTTGCTTTCACACTCTCGCTGACGAGAATTTTTCTTCAGTGTCATCCCTTCAGTGTGTTTGCTGGCTGAAGTCTACAGTTTGTTACGGAGTAGTACCACGTTCATGAAAGTGAGGTACTTGAAATTCTATGTGCAAGTTTTCTTCTTTAAAGCCCTCACTTGCTCTCATCCTTACTTTCACAATCTGCTGTTAAGTTCTTTTGACCTGTGTTGTAGTCTGTTGTTTGGGAATAAATTTCGCTTAGGGCAAGGTCTTTATATCATGTGTAGATTGTCTTAGCACCATTAAAGCCAGCAGAATCGTAGCCAGCAGGTGGTTCAGCCCACATGAGAATCTAGTCCATGGAGCACGGGGCTAGTTTGAGTCTTAAGCCTTCAACACTGGGCTCTGTAAGGGAGAAAGGGCACAAATTTGAAAATTACACTGAGATCCATGAAGAAAGATGCATGTTGTCCCAGAGTGGTTGGTTGAGAAAATGACAAAGGAATGGGGCCATAGAATTTATATTCCTAGGAACCTGATGACTCCCAAGAACTAAAGGGAGAATCAGCTTCTATAGAAGTCAACAGCACCATAGTTATTTTGGCACATCAAAGGAAACCGCTGTGATTGCTCCAGCCCCTGAAATCCTTGCACTTGAACCTGAAAAAATACTTTTCCCTTCCCTGTGTTCTGTATTGTGTCCTCAGAGAAGGTCAGTGACATAAACTAAAATTTTGGTTTTGTCATCTTTGATATTCTACTTCCTGTATAATGTTCTTTCTAATTCTATTTCTTTGTATAAGATTTGGCTACTCACCTTAAATATATGCAAAAGAAGTATTAGCAAAATTGAATATTTTTCCATATATAAGCATTTTGTTTTAATTTCTTACTTGTGATCTCATAGAAAACTTACTGAAATGGGTTTTATGTATTGCTGAACTTTTCAGTATGCACTCTAGAATCATATCACGGCACTTTTCTCCCTCTTACTGAACAAATTCCTTCTAAATGTATGTTAACTAGTCTAATTGGAATTGCTAATAGAATCATAGAATCTTTTAGGTTGGAAAAGACCCTTTAGATCATAGAGTCCAACTGTAAACCTAACTTTGCCAGGTCCACCACTAGCTACTCCATCGTTGCACTACTCTGGGATGGTGTTGGGCCGTGAAGAGTTCATCCAGCTCCCAACTTTCCTTGGAGTTCTCTTCCTCTCTTTGGAGCCAAATCATGAAGGCAGTGAGATTGCCAAGATGTGACTGCAAATCGACTTTGGTGTGCAGGATTCCCCGTACTGCCAGGGATGCGTGGAATGATCGCTGAGCTTCCGATACCAGCTTTTGGGCTGTTGATCAAGAACAGCTCTGCCTGTTTCATTAAGAGCCATGATAGGATCCACCAAGATATTTTTATATAGTTTCTCTTCAGTTTCTCTTCAACCATGTCTTAAGAGTTCAAGGAGAGTCCTAACTCTCTATTCTTACGGGAATAAGAAGGATAGCTCACATTCTTTCAAAAACAAATCTGTTGCAAACTAGCGCAGTCAACCTTTCTGGCCATCCTGCCAGCTGTTCGGCGGTGCAAGCCCAGCCGGTTGGCCAGCGGTGCAAATAGCCCTTCTCGTGCTGGCCATTGCTTCAGGGTTTGCTGTGCTGTGACTTTGCGTTAAGAGTACACAAAAGCCGAAGGGAGCATGAACAGCTAGGTGGTGGGATTTTAATTTGCTGTTTTTCCAAATTTTTATACCCAATTTTTTAGGTTGGGTGGTTTTTTGTGTTTGTTTGTTTGTTTTTTAAATACTAGTGCAATACTTTCCTTAGAAACAAATAAGCATTTGTACTCCAAAGAGAGCCATTAAAGAAGTACTTGCAACATGGTAAACTTTAGCAGACTTCCTAAGAAACATGCTCTGGAAGATGTCTCTGAATCTTTTGACATGGCTTCATTAATTCCTTTTTTTTCTTCTTTCTTTTTTTTTTTTTTAATTTTCAGAGCAGATGTGCTCCTGCATATCCTGCCAAAATGCAACTTTCCTTCGAGAGGGTGTTGAGCACCTTTTCCCTTTTAGAGCACCTGGATAAACTGTTTTAAAAGACAGAAATACCACACTGGAAGGACTTTGGACTGTCCCAGTCTGGTGATGTGTAAATTCCTAACCTATGTAAAACCCACCTATCTGTCCTACTCCAGTTCCAGCCCT